AGAATATTTAGTAATCCGTAATTACACCAGTTGTATCTAAACTGCAGAGCTGTAACAGAAAAGATGTCGAAACTTCTTTTTAGGAAATCTTGTTCAACATGTTTTTCTTCATGTTAGAACATCTTGTTCAACATGTTGCTGCCAAGTTATTTTTACCAAAGTTACTGTCAATCACAAAAACATAGACGTAACAGTTACTCATATTATCAATCCTTTAATAAATTACTTCAATTCATCTAATTCTTACTTATTAGTTTTTGTTAATTCATTTGTTAGTCAGCCTCAAAACCACACTGAAAAAATACACAAACAAATTTTATAAAAACACTTGCAAGAGTTGTGAACATTGAAAATAAGGTTAATTAATTTGTTCGTGGTCCAAAGAAAAAGTTTGGAAAGAGCAACAATGTTGAATTTTAGAAGATTTACAATTTTTTGGTATATGGAAAAGAAATTACATACAAATTAAATCCACACTAAAGAGCTCAAGAGCTCAAGAAGTTGTTAACATGCAATATTGTGTAAACAACTCATCTGTGAAGAGATTTTGTTTCCATATAGCAATTTTGGAATCTTAAATCGAGATGATTGGAATACGGTGAAAGGAAGAAGGATGGTAAATGGAATAATGATTTGTATTGAAATATTATATATTTTAAATTTTATTGTCGTAAATCAACATACAAGAACAACCTAGCAGTTAATTCTCGTGCGAAGAACTTTGTTTGGCGCTGATAGAATTAGAGTTTGGTCTAACTCAACTCTACAAAATCGGGGATTTTTTCCAATAGACCCCTCACTCCTAATACTATTGAGCTTGATGCGTGGATATAAACTAGAGGTGGCAATTGAATCCATTAAGGCAAAATCTATCCAATCCATCCATCAAAAAATTCATCCAATCCATCCACCACACAAAAAATAAGTTAATGGATTAGATTAAATCCATCCACTTATATGCATGAATGGATTCAATCCATCCAATATATTTTAAGGATCCAATGAATTATTTTTATTTTCATTAGATTTATTTTTTAAAAATAATTAAAAAAATTATATTTTTTTCAAAAAAATGAATTTTTTTTCTGAAAAAAAAAAGTTTAATTTTTTTTCGAAAAAAATCGGTTTTTTTTTTCAGAATAAAAAACTGATTTGTTTTTCGAAAAAAACTGACTTTTTTTTTGGAAAAAAAATTGATTTTCTTTTTTCAGAATAAAAAACTGATTTTTTTTCGTAAAAAAAAAAATTTCTCAAAAAAAACCGACTTTTTTTTTTGGAAAAATAATTGGTTTTTTTTTTCAAAATAAAAAACTGATATGATTTTCGGGAAAAAAATCGATATTTTTCAAAAATTAAAATATCAATTTTTTTTTGAAAATATAAAAAATTCAGTTTTTTTAATAAATATATTAAAAAAAAATTTTAAAATACAAAAAATAAAATTTTCAAAAATAAAATAAAATCAATTTTTTAAAAATAAAAAAATATATTTATTTTTACGAAATAAAAAAAAAAGTTGGATGGATGGATATCCTTCCATTAAAAATATGTTAATGGATGGATTTGATTGGATAATTTTTAAAAAAAATTAGTGGATTGTTAATGGACTAATGGATTGTTTTAATGCATCCATTAACAATCCATATCCATCCCCGAATTATCGATATATGAGACTTGGTTTTTCCAATACCAATAGAATTAAAGTTTGGTCTAACTCAACCCTACAAAATCAATTGGTAAGTTGAGGGGTGTCACTCTATATAAAAATTTGTAGATTATATCTTTACCCAACGTGGCATTTGTATTTTTTTCAATATGCATTTGGTGAAAGGCACTCTCCCAACAAAGAAGAACCTGTCTTAAAAAGGTATGGTTGATGATGATTGTTGTCATCTCTGCCATTCTCACACTAAAACCTCTCTTCATCTTTTTCTCCGGTGTGACTTTGTTAAAAGAGTGTTTTTTCCTCCCCTTTGGGGATCCGTGTTCCTACTGATGGGGACATTTTGAACTGGTTGACTGATCAGTTAGAAGCAAATGTTAGAAGCAAAAGACCCTATGGTAGGTCAGTTGGTGGTCACAAGCCTTTGGAAGATTTGGCAAGCTAGAAACAATGTTGTTTTTAATGGGATTACTCCAAATCCCTTTGTGGTTGACAATGCTATTTGGGAGGCCTTTTGAGGAAAATAAGAAAGTTAAAATAGTGAGATGTTGAAGGATCCTGGTCGTGGTGTGGTTTTGAAGAGTATGAATCTTTGGTTAATACAATTCGATGCAGGTTATTTTGAAGATGATTGTATGGCTTTTGGTTGTATTATTCATGCTCCTACTTCTAGCTTATTTCTTGCAACTTCCCACAGGATCCATAGCATTGCTGATGTTGCTATTGTTGAACTTCTGGCTATCCGTTGGGCTCTTCTGTTGGCATAGGAGCTTAAGCTGGACAACTTCATTCCCCAGTCTGATGTTGCTGGATGGTTGATTATATCAATGACATTGATTTTAATGTTGCATTATTTTTTATTGTGTGTGATTGTAAAACCTCAATTAATAGTTTTTGTAATGCTTCTATGATGTTTATTAGGAGGGACAATAATTTAGACACACACTTTATAGTTGGAATTGGAAAGGCTAAGGGCTCCAGAACTTTATAGTTGGTTTCTGTTTAATCAAAATATAAAAAAATTAATGGCTCAGTTGGCAAGTATTGCCCCTTACCATCTTGAGGTAAGGTGTTTGATTCCTATGAACCTTAGAATTTTATTTTTATAGTTTTAACTTTTAAGTAATTAATTAATTATTCAATTTTTTAAAAATGATATATAATTAAAAATAATAAATAATAATTTAGAATTAATTATTTTAAATGTGACACTAACACATCATAAATTTAACTGCCATGACATTAACATTTGACCTCACAACAAAAAATGAATTAGAGGGACTAAAATCTTAAATTTTAAAATGAATGAATCAAAATTAAAAAAAAAAAATAGGAGGACCAAATTTGAAATTTAGTCTTTATTTAATTATGAAATGGTCTAATAACCTCAAAAGTTTAGAGGGTATTTTTATTAATTTCAAAATTTTCTAAAAAGATTCAAGGGGTGAAAAAAGAAAAACTTTTAAAAGTGTGCATTGATGAGATAATTAAATTTCTTTTAAGAAATTTAAATAATTCAATCGAAGTTCATTTATTTTTAAATTAGTTTTATAAATAGAGTAGTTAAAACAAATCATGGTTAATTTTTTCGGACATTTTTATAAATTTTAAAATTTTAGAGTCAAATTTTAAATTTAACAGAAACTAATTTGAAAATTTTAAAAATGTAAATGTATCAATTTTTAAAATTTTAAAATCATTTAAAACTAATTTGTAAAATTCTGAAAATTTTGACGGTCAATTTTAAGATTTTGAAAAATCTCGGAATTAATTTGAAAATTTTAAAATAATAACATTAAGCAATTTGACATTCAAATCTATGGAGTATGAGAGGAATTTTAAATTATTTAATTTTATATATTATTTCAAAATCATATAATTTAAATTAGACAATATAATTAATAAATTTTCATCATTTTAACAATTCTTTATATTTTTATTCAAACAATAAATTTTGTTTAAATTATTTTAAATTCTTTCAAAATATTATATATTTTTCATTAAATTATTTTGATGCGCTATGATATGTTAAGTTGAATAAGGATATGATATGATTGTGATATCATATACATATCATATAGTATGTTTGGTGCACACGTTAATAAAATATAATAATTATTTAATAAATGTAATTTATTAAATAATTAAAAAAATATTATTATTGTATTATTTTATTTGTTTGTACATGATATATATTAAAAATATAATTTATTTTTTTATATTTTTTTAGTTTAAATTCATTCTTAAATTTTAAGTTAAATTATAATTTTGATCCCTCAATTTTATCTAAATCACGAAATTAATCTCTCTATTTAAAATTCAAACAGTTTTGTTCTTTGTTTCACGTTATTTGTTTCACGTTTTGTTCTCAATAAATTTATATACGATGATTTATCATATTTAACACAAAAAAAAAAAAAACTTGTCATTTAAGAAATAAAAATATTATTAATTTTAAGTGTAAAAGTATGAGAGAGTTAAAAATATTTAAATTTAAAATAGAGAGATCAATTTCGTAAATCATGTAAAATATGAGGATTAAAATTGTAAATAAACCTAAATTTTAATATTGACACCTTATATATAATCACTCATGTGAATTTTTCAAATCAGAAATATCTAATACATTATAAATAATTATTTTATATTTAATTATTAAAATTAAATGATCGACTTGATTAGTTTCATACATGAGATTAATAGTAGTGTACTGCTGTGTAAAAATAATTTTACAATATTATTCAATAGAGATTCATCATTCAAACATATCTCACGAATAATTTATTAATGAGTTAACAATGTAAAACTATTCTAGGGAATATGTTTTCTCTTTATACATAAATATATTTATTCAAGCAACACAAATTTGCTTGATGTCATTTATCTTAGAAATTTATGATATGACATTTTTATAAGTGCTTTGACAAAAATTAGACTCTTCAATTTGATTTCTCAACTTAATTTTTTTGAAAAAAGAAAATATGATTTTTCTAAGAAATTTGGAAAATTGTTACCTTCTTCATGTTCAACCTACGCGTAAACTTCATTTTGTGTAGAGTGTCATGAATGAACTAAAATGTCTGGCACACGTTCATTGAGCTTATCTTGTACTTGACGGCATGTCCAAGTGGACCCAATTGTGTGTCAGCGTGTTTTTAGTCTAAACTTAGACCACAACCATGTTACTGTCCCACTTATTTCTATCATGTTTTAAATGTGACTTTCTATTGTTCTATACATCAACATGCATATATAAGCCAACCACACATACAAACACAACCTTAATCTACAACCAACTCATACATACATACTTAAACAAACAAACCTCAAATTACCAATGGTAATACACAAATTTGCAAAACTCTTGTTTAAGAAGAGGAATCAACACAAGTGTCATCCTCAACCAAATGAAGACTTATCATCATTTCATTCTTTTCAATCTCATGTTTCCAAACTCATTTCCCAATTAGCATTGGAACTCAAACCTGAATCTAATTTGTCCTTGTCATGGTTTCAAAGATGTTTTGGTCTCTTGCCCTTCATCAACAAAGCTTTTGCAAAACTTTTAGTGGACAATGATTATCCAATAACTCAATGGGATGTTGATTCCATTGAAGAGTATCTCAACTATACCATGAGTTTGTTGGAGCTTTTGAATTCCATTTCTTCTTCTCTTTCTCATATAGGCCAAGCTACACTCTCTCTAGCTCATGGTTTGAATATGACTTTGGCGGAAACGGAGGCTAGAATGTATTTGAAAGCAATTCAACCATCAGGGTGTTATCGCACCAATTTCAGTAGACATCTTCACACAAAAGATAAAAAAGCAAAGATTTTTTCTGGTCACAAGTGGATTGTTGATGAGGGTTTAAAGGAAATGAAGAGCATTGGATTTTGGGTATGTGGAGTTCTCTTATCTTGTTTATATGGGGATTGTAAGCCATACATGGAACTAAGAAAAACTGCTGGTGGATTTGAGAATTCTCTAGTTGGCATTCTTGATTTCAAAATCAGTGAGAAGTTAGTGAAGAAAAAGCCGAGCTTCTGTGAGATCGAAGAGATGAATAATGGTGTTGCTCTCCTTGTTGATGGGGATGAAGTAAGACATGATGCAGCCAAAGATTTGCAGGGAAAGTTGTGTGAGTTGAAAAAGCTATTTGATGATATAAGCCAGGAAGTTGATCATTTATTTAATGATGTAATGATTCAGAGAACTAAATTAGTTTGCAACTAGTATTATTTTTGTATTGTTTCTTAAATTATATATATTTCTGTAGTCATACTCATTGGTTCAAATCATACATTCAATCACATGATTAAGATAGAAATAAAAAATCTAGTTAATAATTTGCCTTACTTTGAAAATTCTAAAAGTCAGTCTTAGACCCATCTGAAAAACATAAGGATCTATTTGATTTAAAATTTCATTGGATTTAATGTGGGACTTGACAATATTAATGAACATAACTATACATATAATAATTAAATAATAATAATAATTTTATTGGCCACTGAGATAAAACAAAAAAAAAAATTCATATATGAAACAAGATTGAAATTCTAGACTCCTTGGCCTCTCAATGACCACGGCTCATATTGTGATTTATTCCTTTCTTTTAACAAACGTCTATCTTCAATGTTTAGTCGCTCTAAAGAGGTAGGAAAGTAGTCTTCTAACAATAACTTTAGTCTTTGACACTTACAAAAAGAAAGTTATCCGTTATAGAATTAAAATTGGTCGAAAAATCGGTGATTGCGATAAAAAACGGTGGACCTAAACCGGAGGAGGAAAGACTGTTTTGCAGAGTGAATGAAATTTAAAATTGAAATTGTGTACTTGAAATTAGCGTGTGTTCCATTTATATATATAGTGGGGAGGTTGTAACAAACTGTTATTCTCTAAGCGTGTGATGCAGAGAACCGTTGAATGTATCTTGTCTCTAGATATTTTGCACTCTTCCGTAGGATAATTCTTCTGTATTATGAGCAATTCGAACGAACCAACACTTCCTCCGGATAGTCGGCTAATGGTCATTTTGAACGGCCTAAAACAATTGCCTTCAAGCCCTTATGTGAGTATAACGGTGCAGGGGTTTGTCATATTTGTCTCTATTGCCGACCACTCTTTTAGCTTAAATGAAAAACCAAAAGGAGATGTTACTTTTTTTTTTGGAAATTGACGCCTTTAAATATCTTTTCGTAGGTACCCTCATATTGACATTTGGAAACTAAAACACTTGAGTGTCTCGCTGAGATGATATGGAGTGTTGATAAGGTTTATCCCTTTTAGTAAGTCATCATACAATTTTTAAGTGTCAGTTTCTCATTTCTTTGAGATGTTATGTTTACTTCATTGTTGCTTACATTTCCTCCAACCATTTTCCTTTCTATGCTAGAAGGTAGATCTTATCATGCATCAAAAATCAAAAGAAGACACTTACGCCTCATGGGTTGACTTTATCTCTTCATCGACTACTTTTGTCTTTGCTCGAGAGGGTGACATGGATGAAGCCCTCTTGGAGGTTGGTCCACCTTCGGATTGAGGCATCATGACCCTTGGTAAAAATGAGAGGATATGTAACGAGTATAATGGATGTTCCATTCTTTTCTATGAATGTACCTTCTCGTTCTTAGATATTCGATTTCCTTTTAACGACTTTAAAATAAAAGTTTTAAATCACTTGATGGTTTCCCCATCGCAGTTGCACCCTACGAGCTAGACATATGTCAAAGTCTTTCAGTACTTATGAAAATATCAAAAGGGAAAACCATCTTTGTCCCTTTTCTTCCACATCTTTAGAGTACAACGTCGTCTCGTGTCCCAGGCACGGGGCCATGGTTTGGTTAATTTAGTGTCGACTATTTAAAGTTTCTGGAAATTTTCAAATAGCTTGAAGCATTTTTAAAATTAATTCTTCTTGGTTGTCCCCCTTCGCAAGGAAGCTCATGTGATTGTGTGCAGTGTAAGGTATGGAATGGGGGATAGGTATACTAGCTTGTTTCTCAATAACTTGAACCAGTGCCATTTTCTGATGGGAAATGAATTTTACATCTTCAAGGAGGACGACATGTCTTAGAAGTATCTTTATCTAAAGAGAGAGCTGGTAGTTTTTGTCAAAAAGTTAGGTTATCCGAGGGGTTACTCCTCAGAATGAAACATCACATAAGCGTTTGAAATGACTTATTGAGACATGTTTGATGATGGATGATCATATTTAATAATCATTATTTGTAGATTTAATGAAGGATGAAGAAGCAATTTGTTTATTAAAATGGAGAATCTACTCAACTCAGGCAACGAGGGTCTTTCAAACCGTTAACATCTAATCAATTCTCCTTTCCCTTTAAGGTTTACAAGAGGGGCTTTAAATGATTTTCAGCGGTCGTCGCACATGTCTAGTTCCCTAGCTACTTCTAAGTTGTTGAGGTCGGGCCTCGTACTCCGAAGGAAAATCGAGAGTATACCTCGAAAAAGGACTGTTATTACCTAGATAACCTAATCAGACAGGCTCTTAAGGAGGAGCTATCAAATCTGGCATAATATACTCGACGCACTTCTGTTGTCTTGGCCATTGATAAGGTCGACTATTGTGACAAGTTGTTTCTCTCTATGACTTGGATACTTTAGTATTATAGAGAATAAATGAAATTTGCGACCATGATCCCAAAATGAGATCAACTTATATACTAATACAATGATAACCATCGACAACAACTATTCCCACAAGATTTGACACGTACCCCATTACGTGTGTTTCAGTGCTCTAACTTACTTCCACGCGTCTTCAATGTTAAAATTTATGAAAACCTCCCATTATGTTTTCTCAACATCCTTAGTCTGGATGACTTATAGGCTAAAAAATATACTAATTCTCCAACATATGATGAATGTGTCGAACTCGACCCTTGTTAAGATGTTTATTCCTGTAAATCTCTTTGAGATTTTGGATATGTTTTGAAGAGATAATGATCCTAATCTTGTGGATATGTTTCTGAGACTCTTCCAAACCATGCTTCGTGGGCGTTAGAATAGACTATGTCCCATAAGGACTGGAAAAGTGGTTGAATCATCTTTAGTCGACATGATTGATATGCCATATTAAAGCTATATTTGAGGCTTTTGACACTTAGCATTCTCAGACATGGTTATTACCATTATTTACCTTTGTTTACCAACTGCTCAAACTTGTTGAAGTTCATATTCCTCATTTGATCACCCAATTGCTTTATATTGGTAAATAATACCTTTCTTAGTGAAACCTCTTCTTGAACAAGATTAACCAATTTCCCCGAGCCCTTGATTCTTCCTTTTGCTCAATTTCCATGAGCAGTCTTATCTCTAGCCATGAGAATGGTACCCTTACAATTACCATACCACCATTTCCTCAAGAAAACTCTGTGTTATGTATGAGATATGGAGCTAGATAATGAAGCATTAGATTTCCACCTCTTCTTAGCACGGTCTTCCTTGCGACTTTTGATATTTAACTTAAGCAATTCAAAACAATAAGAGAGTGAAAAGTTCTTTTTGAGAGTTGTGTTATACTGGTGCTGAGCTGAATTTGTTTTATTCAAGAGTGTGATTCTCTTATGTAATATCTTTGTAAAAGATTTGAAGGTTGCAAGCTAACCCTGAAAGAAACTTGGGTGAAGGCTCTTGAGTTATGTATGTGTAAAAGCTCTCGTTGTTATTAGAAGGTTTGTGGGTTGATCCAAAGCAAACGCTCAAGTTGTAGTTGAAGGTTGTTTCAAATGATCATGTAAAAGTTCAAGGTTATTTTTAGTGGAAATCTCAAGAGGAAACACTTCGGGAGATAAGTATGAAAAATTGTTAAGCCGAACCTGTATAACTCTCTAATGTGATATTTAGATCTCTTATCTTTTTTATTCTCAATTAATTATTTTTATTCAACTGCTTATTAATCTTCTTCTTTTTCTTCTTCTCCTTTCTATATATTTAATTGTTATTTCTCTTATTCATTATTTATTCTAACATAAACATTTTCAAATTTAAATACTTTTATAAATTATTTTTGAGTTTTGAATAACACAATTTATCCCTCTTGTGTTTGGAGTCATTTGGTCAACAACTTTCCTATTGTTCATTGTCGTGTTGATGTTGTTACTAGATCTTCTAACCTTATCTAATTCTAATTTACTATTATAAGGGGATTCATCCCCGTCTTCATATGATGACGTCAATGTTACACTATCTAATATAAAACACCAAATGGACCAAATAAATCTCCCAATGAACCACAACGGCACAAGAAGAGTGGTCAATGTTTAGTGTCATTGTCTGCTATTCGATGATGATAAACATGTTTAGTTCACCATCATTCCTCTTCAAATCAACGATGATGTAAAAACTATGCTCTCAATATTGACCAATATCGATTTTTGGGGGATGATTGAATTATACGCTACAGTTATTAGATCTATTTACGCGTTTTGTTCAAGCCTAACTTTTCCTACAATATCAAATGAGATTACAATGTGTATGATTAAATGTGATGAATAACAAATTAATTTTTACAATATGTGAGCTTGTTTATAGTTAATTAATGTTTTCAATTATGCACAACTTATTATTAATATTTAACGTGTAACATATAGTTGAATTTCAGCTGATTTAATAAAGGAAAATTACCCTTTTTGGTCCCTTAATTATACCCTCAGGTTCACTTGGGTGCCTTAATTTTTTTCGTGTCACTTTGGTCCTTTAACTTTGTAAAAGATGCATATGAGTCTCTTCCGTCTATTTTCCTCAAACGTCCATTTATTTTATCTACGTGGAAGCTGAGCTGACATTGTCCTTATTACTTAACTTCATCTGTATCAGTTCATCTGTGCATCTTCGTTTTCATTTTCACTGTGCATCTTCTTTTTTGTTTTAATTTACATCTTTTTCACATCATCAAGAACGTTTATCTTTGTTCACTTCACCTGCATCATTTTCGTCTTCCTTAGCATCATGATTCTCATCTGGGTTTTCTTCGAATCATGAGGTCATCCCAATGTTCTTCGTCTCTAAAGTAGAATAACTCTAAAAGTTATGAATCCAGTGTATACACAAACTCACAATGGGTACCAAAATGTCATTGTGGGGACAATATTGTGATTATAGGGAAACAACCGATAAGAATTATGGGAAACATTTTTGGGGTTATCTTAATTTTAAGATAAGCCCTAATTTCAGTTTGATGTATGTCCAACTGTGATTCTAGTGCATGT